ATTGTGAGTTTTTAGCATGAAGGGCTGTTGGATTTTGTTGAAGGCCTTCTCTGAATCTATTGAGATAATCGTGGTTTTTGTCTTTGGTTCTCCATTTATGTGATGGATTATGTATGTGGACTTGCATATGTTGAACCAGCCTTGCATCCCTGGGATGAAGCCTACTTGATCGTGATGAATAAGCTTTTTGATGTGCTGTTACATTTGTTTTGCCAGTATTTTATTTAAGATTTTTGCATTGATGTTCATCATGGATATTGGCCTGAAGTTTTCTTTTTTAGTTGAGTCTCTGCCTGGTTTTGGTATCAGGATGATGTTGGTCTCATAAAATGAGTTAGGGAGGATTCCCTCTTTTTGTATTGTCTTATGTAGTTTCAGAGGGAATGGAACCAGCTCCTCTTTGTACATCTGGTAGAATTCGTCTGTGAACCTGTCTGGACCTGGACTTTTTTTTGGTTAGTAGCCTATTGATTGCTGCCTCAACTTCAGCCCTTGTTTTTGGTCTATTCAGGGTTTCAGCTTCCTCCTGGTTTAGTCTTGGTAGAGTACAAGTGCCCAGGAATTTATCCATTTCTTCCTGGTTTACTGGTTTATGTGCATAGAGCTGTTTGTAGTAATCTCTGATGGTAGTTTGTATTTCTGTGGGATCAGTAGTGATATCCCCTTTATCTTTTTTTAATTGCATCTATTTGATTCTTCTCTCTCTTCTTTTTTATTAGTCTGGCTAGTGGTCTATTTTGTTGATCTTTTCAAAAAACAAGCTCCTAGATTTATTGATTTTTTGAAGGGTTTTTTGTGTCTCCATCTCCTTCAGTTCGGCTCTGCTCTTAGTTATTTCTTGTCTTCTGCTAGCTTTTGAGCTTTTTGATCTTTCTCCTCTAGCTCTTTCAATTTTGATGATAGGTTGTCAATTTTAGATCTTTCCTTGTTTCTCATATGGGCATTTATGGCTATAAATTTCCCTCTTGACATTGCTTTAAAGGTGTCCCAGAGATTCTGGTAAGTTGTGTCTTCATTCTGATTGGTTTCGAAAAGCATCTTTATCTCTGCCTTCATTTCATTGTTTATCCAGTCGACACTCAGAAGTAAGTTGTCAGTTTCCAAGTGGTTGTGTGGATTTGAATGTGTTTCTTAACCCTGAGTTCTAGTCTGATCATGCTGTGGTCTGATAGACTGTTATGATTTCCATTCTTTTGCATTTGCTGAGGAGTGATTTGCTTCCAATTATGTGGTCAGTTTTAGAGTAAGTGCAATGTGGTGCTGAGAAAAATGTATCTTCTGTGGATTTGGGGTGGAGCATTCTGTATATGTCTATTAGGTCTGCTTGGTCCAGCTCTGTATTCAAGTCCTGGATGTCCTTGTTAATTTTCTGTCCTGTTGGTCTAATATTTACAGTGGAGTGTTGAAGTCTCCCACTATCATTGTGTGGGAGTCTAAATCTCCTTTTAGGTTGTTAAGAACTTGCTTTATGTATGTGGGTGCTCCTGTGTTGGGTTCGTATATATTTAGGATAGTTAGCTCTTCTTGTTGGATTGATTATTTTACCATTATGTAATACCCTTGTCTCTTTTGATCTTTATTGAAGTACATTTTATCAGAGACTAGGATTGCAACCCCTGCTTTGTTTTGTTCTCCATTTGCTCGGTAAATCTTCCATCCCTTTGAGTTTGTATGTGTCTTTGTATGTGAGATGGGTTTCCTGAATACAGCACACTGATGGGTCTTAACTTTTTATCCAGTTTGCCAGTCTGTGTCTTTTGATTGGGGCGTTTAGGCTGTTTACATTCAATGTTAATGTTGTTATGTGTGAATTTGATCCTGCCATTTTGTTACTGGCTGGTTTCTTGCCCGTTAGTTGACTCATTTTCTTCATTGCATCTTTGGTCTTTGCCATTTGGTGTGCTTTTGCAGTGGCTGGTAGTTGTTCCTTTCTGTGCTTAGTGTTTCTTTCAGGAGCTCTTGTAGGGGAGGTCTGGGGGTGACGAAATATCTCAGTAGTTGCTTGTCTGTAAAGGATTTTATTTCTCCTTCACTTAAGAAGTGTAGTTTGGCTGGATATGAGATTCTGTGTTGAAAGTTCTTTCTTTAAGGATATTGAATATGGGTCCCCACTCTCTTCTGGCATGTAGGGTTTCTGCCGAGAGATCTGCCGTGGGTCTGATTGGCTTCCCTTTGTGGGTGACCTGACCTTTCTCTCTGGCTGCCCTTAGCATTTTTTCCTTCATTTCAACCCTGGTGAATCTAACGATTATGTGCCTTGGGGTTGCTCGCCTTGAGGAATATCTTTGTGGAGTTCTCTGCATTTCTTGGATTTGAGTGTTGGACTGCCTTGCTAGGCTTGGGAAGTTCTCCTGGATAACATCCTGGAGTGTTTCCCAGCTTGTATTCATTCTCCCCGTCATATTCAGGTACACTGATCAAGCATAGATTAGATCTTTTTACATAATCCCATATTTCTTGGAGGCTTTGTTCATTTCTTTTCACTCTTTTTTCTCGTCTCCCTGTTTTTATTTCAATTGAGTTGATCTTCAATCTCTGATAGCCTTTCATCTGCTTGATTTAGCTATTAAAACTTGTATTTGCTTCATGTAGTTCTTGTGCTGTGTTTTTCAACTCCATAAAGTCGTTTATGTTCTTCTCTAAGCTGGTTATTCTAGTTAGCATTTCGTCTAACCTTTTTTCAAGGTTTTTGGTCTCTTTGCATTGGGTCAGAACATGTTCCATTAGCTCAGAAAAGTTTGTTATTATCCACCTTCTGAAGCCTGTTTGTCAATTCATCGCACTCTTTCTTGGTCATATTGTGTTCCTGTGTTGTTGAGGAGTTGTGATCCCTTGAGGGAGAAGAGGTGTTCTGGTCTTCGATGGCTTCATTTTTTTTGCGCTAGTTTTTTCGCATCTTCGTGGATTTACCTGGCTGTGATCTTAGGGAGCTGGTTGATGAGGTCACTTGTCTGCCTGTCGAGGCACTACTAGGTTTCCAGGGACCCCTTCAGGTTACTAGGTAGGCTTCCTGTGTCTTTTTTGTTTACACTGGGAGGTTAGGCCCGCCTCTTCTGCTGACCTGGAGGTGCTGCTGGGTGGTCAAGAATACCATCCTGTTGCTACATAGGCTTCCTGTGTTTTTTGTTAAAACATGAAGCCTAGTCCCACCTCTTTAATGGTGGGTTGTGTCTTTCCTCCACAGGGCTGGATCATTCAGGGTTCAGCTCAGACTGAGGCACTGGCTGCATTACCTGCTAGTTAGTGCTTCAGCCCTCTGGGGTTTGTGGGGGAGGGTAGGGACCTGCCCAGCCGCACAGTCTGTCTCCCCACTTTCAGCTCCCTCTCTCTTGGGTCATGGGGGAGGGGCCCGCCTAGCTGCTCCATCTGCAGGCTCTCCTGGCTGGCTTATGGGCTTACGCATTTGCTTAGATCTGAGCGACAGTCCGGCACACCGTCCTGGATTATTATTCAACTCTGTGCCTGTAATTCCTGGTGCTTGACTGGCAAAGATCCCCTGTTCTGTGTATTGCTGAGGCTTTGGGGGGAAGTGCTGTATCTGGACTGGAGTGCCAGAGGGGGATCCCCCAACTTACCGGTCAGATGCACTTTCTGGGTGAAGCAGCACCCCTCCCTGCCTCAGTCTGCCCTGCCTGGACTTTGCTCACCGTCCAACCAGACCCGTTGAAATGCACCTGGTACCTCAGTTGGAGCTAGGAGATCTCGATTTCTGCGTCTCTCTCGCTGGGTGTTGTGCACCGGAGTTGTGTCTATTCGGCCATCTTGACTCCCTCGCCATTGATGAATTTTAATAATTTCTAAATTAGGCACAGTAAGAGGTGAACAACTAAAACTACTAATAAAACAGGACAATTATACTGTAATAAAGATTATGTGAGTGTGGTCTGTCTCCCTTAAAATATCTTATTGTACTGCAATGTACTCACCTATTTTCAGACCATGGCTGACTGTGGGTAATAAACTGTGGAAATTAAAATCACAAATAAGTGGGGGTACTTCTGTAGTCTTTGAGAGTACCTTAAAACTGTAGCAACATTTTGCATTGCTGGGGCACCACTTCAATTTTATACCGGGTTATCCATTATTTATAACCTAGATTATGCGGTTCTGCAGGGAAAACTCATCTAAATTCTTAAGAGATAGTCATTACTTTAAATGCTATCAGACTAAAAGTCATCTAAATTCTTAAGAGATAGTCATTACTTTAAATTAAATGCTATCAAACTAAAAGTATGTGCTGATAATACTTTGGATACACTTGAATAAACAGAAGACAGATTTTGAAAATGTGTTTTCTTCAAACTCTGTGAGTGCTCAGCATACCCAGAAGTCCCTCTAAAGAGGAAACCCCATCGACAGCTTCAGTGGTTCATAAATCCACAAATGCCACAAAAAATACCAAGGAGCCTGGGCATGGTGGATCACGCCTGTAATCCCAGCACTTTGGGAGGCCGAGGTGGGCAGATCCCCTGAGGTTGGGAGTTCAAGACCAGCCTGACCAACATGGAGAAACCTTGTCTCTACTAAAAATAATAACTAACAAAATTATTAGCCGGGTGTGGTGGTGCATGCCTATAATCCCAGCTACTCGGGAAGTTGAGGCAGGAGAGGTTGCGGTGAGCCAAGATCACGCCACCAGCTTTGGCAACAAAACCGAGACTGCATCTCAAAAAATAAAGAATACAATTTATCTTCAACATCTTTATATGTATTCACATGAAAAATTTTAATTTACCCTCAAAAGTAAACTTTGTCATCACTATGTGAACTCCATTCGCAAATGTAAATAGTCAATCTTATGCAGGCAGAAAGGAGAGTTCTGAGGCAGACCTAAAACACCCTGAGGTCCCTGGTCAGACTCCTCAGACACAGCATGGTGTGGCTGTTCGTTCCTGAAGAAAGCACTCTTAAGATGTCAGCATTACATCTGTGTCCTAAGTTTTCCAGGAGAATGCATTTTTAAAATTAAGAAAGAATGGACCAGAATGACAGTGAACTGCTCATTTTAGAATGTTCTTTATTCTGACAGTTATTGGACAAATATAAGGCATGTTCACAAGTGTCTGAAGTTATGTACAAAACACACCCATTCAACAGATGCTCCTCTTCTCCTTTTGTACTTGCACTGCAAACGGGTCCTTATGCACGTTAACATCCATAGCGCTCAATTCTCATGAATATTCAGACAATGTTTTCGGAACCACCATGGACAATCTGTTTCAAACTAAGGCATGAGCTTCTACGAACTAAGTCACTAAGACACCAGAACTCACAGTGAACAAAGGCAGATGAAGGTGACAAAATCAGCTCATAAATTCATGACTCTTAAGTTTCCAGTGGAACAAAGAACACATTGAAAAACGTTTTTTTGATCCTTCATGTCGGAGAAAAATGGAATGTGTCCAGAATTCACAGTTCTAGATTTACCACTGTCTACAAGTCACAAAACAATATCTAATTTTTCCATGGTTTCTAATGTAGTTAGTTTTGCTCTTAGGCCACAGAACAAGATTGCATGCATTACTTTACAAAATGTCAAACACAGGACGATTGTAACACAGACACTTCAGGGTTGTCTAAATGCACAGCTTCTCTTTTTGTGGTGGGTGGGAAAGGAGAATGACGGTGGCCGTTTCCACACACCGCCCGTTGTGTGCTCAGCACAACTGGATGCGGCCCCCACGCACTTGCTGACTGACTCACAGAAGAACAGAAGCTGCTGAGGAGGCAGTGGAGTTCCAACTGCAGGCTCCAACCGGGGGCTGGGATGATGGACACACAGCCTCGACTCCAGGGGGCTAAAATCTTAGTCAATGCTAATTAAAAAGTGTTTTGTAAGTGATTTTTGAAAATCAGATTACATCTATAAAAGATGAAAGTAAACAATTTATCAGGGGGAACATAAAATAATAAAAGCAGATGGCATTTCACAAAGAGGAGATTTGAATCTTGGTCTAAGTCAGCCAATATTTTAACATTAACTATAAATTATTAAAATGTAGTTTGCTTATTCCCATTCTTAAAATGCAGAATCTCTGAGGAAAAACGTAGGCATATTTTCAGGAATACAGACCCATGTAAAAAATTTAAAGAGTCAGTTTCATCTCTCTTGCAAGCTACTAGAACAGGGTTTTCAAACACAAAAAGGTAACTAACAAATGTGGGGTGCTTGAATATGTTAAGAATTCTTATCCCTAGAATACTGCTTCGAGGCCCTGCAATACTTCCCAAAGGAAGACGCCCATCTAAAAGAGCTCCGTGCAGCCCCCGCGACCCATGAATGTGGCAGCTGTCATTCTATTAGCCACTGCTTGGCCATCATCAAAGAATTTACTCAGAGTGGGGAAATTACTCAATATCAACTATGTTAGCGATTTCCATGTATTGAGCTTTGTGACGCACAATGCACGAGGGTCTTGAAATGTTTGCTTTTTACACCAGTGGTAGGAAATTGTGATTCCTCCGATTCAACATGCCAGTGGATGAGCTTTAGTGAAGGCAGCTCCCGATTCTCAGTGGGCCAGCCTCTTCCAGAAGGTGCAGGCTACTACTCTTCCGACAGATCACGACCCCGGCAGGCCGGGCAAGCGCTCTGCCCTTTAAGCCACTGCTTAAAGCACTGAAAGGGAGAAAGCAAAATCAGGAGAGGCCTTCAGGGCCATGAGGAAGCCAAGCTCCCCTGTGCTGCTGGGCTCCTTGGCGGGTGCGGCTCACTGGCCCTTCATCTCCCTTGGGCCTGGAGCTGCCCAATACTCAGGGACACCAACGCCTGCTCAGGCCAGAGTGTGGACAAAGCTCCAGCAGCCACCGATCCCACCTCAGGGTCAGGTCCTGAGCGCTCTGGGCCTCTGACTTAGCCTCAGGGGGTGCCTTGCCCTGAGCCCTGGCTCCAGTCTCAGCTCTTCCACTTCAGTTGTGCTGAATTCCAGAGCCTGGCATTCTTGGCCCTATGACCCAATCACTCATTCTTAGCCCATCCCTCGGCCTGCCCTCAACCCCTGGCTCTGGAACAGCCCACCAGCCTGCACGCCACACTCCTGCGGCCTCTGCCCACACTGCTGAGGCTGAGGCCAGTCAGCTAGCCCAGACATAAGACCCTGTACCCAAAGGAGGCAGACCACACCAAAGAGACTCAGCAAGTGGTCTCAATTCCTTTTAGTGAGTATGCTATATTTATCCCGTTGCAAAAAATGAGCAAATCCCATGGCAGAGACCTCATCTGTTCTAACCCAGCAGCAGGGGTACACACAAATGCACACACAGATCCCAGAATGGTGCGGCAGGACTGTCGCCGGGTCAGGCAGAAGAGACTAAGTTCAGTTTGGTTTTTGTCCTCTAAAATATTTAACTGACTTCATATACTACACTAAGTTAAAAAAAAAAAAAAATGGTTTCACTGTTTCTCCACTTGGTCAAGTGCGGTCAAGTGCGTAAGACCACCTCTCAAGGAACTAATACTGCTTTGAATCTCAGCACCAGTGAGTGGCGGGAGCTGCCGCTCTCCTCTCCCCACATGGGATGGAAAGGACGCGGGACTGCCCCTCCCGCAGCTGGTGTGTGGACAGGGAGTCAGTGAACACTGACACTGGAGGTGTGCAAAGAAAGGGTTTGAAAGCACAAGAAACACTGATGACTAGAAGACAATTCCTTTCTTATTTTCAAAACAGTTGACGGTTCCAATGCATGCTGTACAATGGCCAGAAAGAGCTCTTACCCCTTTGTGATACTTGTGCCCGCATTTGAGCACACGCACATTTTTTGATTTGAAGACCTCGTGGCATATTTCACAGGAACTCACAGCTGGTGCCTGTGGAAACAAACAGACCTGAATAATAAAGAACTACATTTTTTTTTAATGACATGAGTTCTTCCTTCAAGTGGCCTTCAAACGTCTTTTGCCACAAAGTGTGGCAGACTATTCACAATCACAGCTAAACAGTCTAACTTTTTTTTTTTTGGTGAAATGGAGTTTTGCTCTTGTTGCCCAGGCTGGAGTGCAATGGCATGATCTCAGCCCACCACAACCTCCGCCTCCTGGGTTCAAGCGATTCTCCTGCCTCAGCTTCCCAAGTAGCTGGGATTACAGGCATGTGCCACCACGCCTGGCTAATTTTGTATTTTTAGTGGATATGGGGTTTCTCCATGTTGGTCAGGCTGGTCTTGAACTCCCAACCTCAGGTGATCCGCCTGCCTCGGCCTCCCAAAGTGCTGGGATTACAGGCGTGAGCCACCATGCCCGGCCAGAAACAACTTATTTTTTAGCAGCATTTCTTAACAATATAAAAACACAAAAACATACTTTTTAAAAAAGCTTACTTAGAAAGTTCTAATTTCCTCAGAGAAAAAACTGTTTTATGTGGCTAAAAGAGTCCCAGGTGAAGATTAACATACCTAAAGTGTAGTATGGGCTAATCATGTGGTATGGCATAATTAATCATTCATCTAATCATCTAAGAGTTGAGGGCAGTAAATTCCAACACATCCACACAATGGACTATTGTGTAGCCAAGGCAAATCATGATGGAAGTCCATAATCCCTGACACAGAAAGCTGGCCCCAACAGCCTGCTGAATGAAAGCAGCTAACAAGACAGTATGTATCAGATATAACTCACTTTTTAATAAACATGCTGCAATGCAAGTATACATACATGCCTAGAAAAGCATGTTAACAGTGGTTGCCCCCAGGTTAAGGGAGATTTAACCTTTGTCTTTACTGTTTTCTAGTTTCAATGAGGATGGATTACTTGTGCAAATCAAAATAAAACAAATGGATGGCTCATCCGGCAAACATCCATGGGCAGGGACTGTGTGGGGCACGGGACACAGAGATGAATGGAGGGCTGTGGCCTCAGCAGCTCACAGTCTGGTGAGCACAGACAGTGCTTTCGATGCGAGCGCAGACCTGAGTGCTGCCTGGGACTCCAGGCATAGCGTTCTCCCTGCAACTCACAACACTTACCCTACTAGCACTGCACCATTAACTTCTACTCTACCTGACTGCCTCTTAACTCTGAGCACCTTGAAGGCACGAAATGAATCCCATCAGGGTCCTTAGCAGCTGGCAAAAAACCTAGCCTACACTCATGCTCTAAAAACCCCTGCTGAGGGAGCCAGCGAATGCAGGCAGCCCTGGCAGTGGGATCCAGTTCAGGAAGTGGCGCTGGGGCCTGAGAGGACCTTGAATTGCTGTCCAGCGTTCTGCCGTCCTTTCCCAAGGCATGACTCAGCCTGAGAGGCAGATGCTGCAGAATGAGGGTTCATGCCCCTCCACTGCTGCCCGTGACTTGAGGGTCAGGGAGAAGAGGAAGTGCCAGCACGGGGAAGAGCCAGTGAAGGCTTCTCCAATGCCCAGTGCAAAGCTCGGGGCCAGGTTTAGTGTGAAAAAATCTGCACTTCACTTGACTGTTTTCTGTTTCCCAGCAAAGACGGGCACAGTGTATTTCTAAGTAAAACGAAAAAAGGACAGCCACAATAAAAACAACAACAAAAACCCAGCCCCTCAGAGAACATACAAAGTCTAACTAGAGTATTCGGTTTTGACTAATTCATATATACGTGCATACAGGAGTTTAGAAACATATATACCAAAGTGGTAATACTGGTTACAGGGTGGGTTTTTGTTTTTTTTAAGACGGAGTCTCACTCTGTCACCGAGGCTGTAGTGCAGTGGCACAATCTCAGCTCACTGCAACCTCCACCTACGGATTCAAGCAATTCTCCTGCCTCAGCCTCCTGAATAGCTAGGACTACATGCATGTGCCACCACAATTCTTTTGTATCTTTAGTAGAGATGGGGTTTCACTGTGTTAGCCAGGATGGTCTCAATCTCCTGATGTCGTGATCCGCCCATCTCAGCCTCCCAAAGTGCTGGGATTACAAGCATAAGCCACCATGCCCAGCCAACAGGGTGGGTTTTTAAATGCCCTTTTTTCTATTGTGAGTATGTAATGCTTTTGTAATTTAAATAGTAATACTTTTAACAAACTATGATTATCAAATTAGGTCCCAGTTTGAATACATATTTTTCTTTCTCATACAATTTGGTGAAGTTTAAGTCAGCTTTTATATCTTCATTACTATAAACATCCACCATGAAGCAAAGAGAGAACTCTCTTCTCCAGGCAATCATGGTCTATCTTGGGGTGGGGGTGGCCACGATACCACATTCACTTTGCACATGCACACACGTGACCCATCACGGAAACACCCAAGAGAGGAGGGACTCCAGCCAGGTCTTGCAGGAATGCCCTACCTGCTCGGAAGCTCCCTCACTGGGGTGTGGGTGGGGCTGAGGCCCTTTAGAGCTGAGTGTATGCAGTGTGAAAAGTCTCCAAAGAGTAGTGGAAAGTGAAAACGTCTGGGAGGAATAAAATCCTAAGTTTACGAAAAGACTCAATGCCTGCTCAAGTTAGCAAAGCAGTACTCTGTGCAGTCTCCTACTGCTGGCTCCCTGGCTGAGGTGATGGGGCCTGCAACTCTTCCCCCTGTGGTTGTTGGTTATACTCTTACACCATAGATGGACAAAAGGGAAGATGTGCTTGACACCAGAATTCCATCCAGAGCCCACGGCCCTGAACCACACAGATGAGAGGCCCTCTTGTAGCCACCCCTGTGGTCCCTACTGCATGGTTCCAGCGTCAGCCAGTCCCTGTGGTGAGGATGAGGGAATGACACGGGACAGCCACAAGTCGAAAGGCCCACTCTGAGCTACCTCCAGGCCTTCAGCCAAGTGAATGCGGGCAAGCTATGTGAGCTATCTGTGCCTCCGTTTCCTTATTATAAATAAAGATAATTACACTGCCTTATCAATTCAGATCATAGATATTGTAGTATTTTATGAAACCTTCTATGTAAATTAAACATTCTTATTGTCTAAAAGGAAAATAAACAACTTAATCACTACACAAATTCCAGGCAAGTGTAGCCTATTCCATTGTCCCTTCTCAGGCATGGACAGCAAGCAGCCTCTCTGGAGCACAGAGCAGACCCAGTCATCCTACAGCAGCCTCTGACCCAGACAACAGCCTGGGCAAGCAGCGGTGCCTGGGCTCAGTGCTAGTAAGTGATGGAACCAATCTGTGCAATTCCAAAGCCATGGTTACACAGAAGAAAATTATTCAAAAATGATTTCCCCAACTGTTCAAAATACCAGAGTGGATGTACAAAGTTCCTATATTTAACCATCTGCAGCAAAACGAGGGCAAGAGAGAGAAGACCCAGTTCCCCCACAGCGGTCAGAGCCCATGTCACTCGTGTGCAGGGACCTATTTCCATGCTGGGACCGAGACCCAGGGTACCAGAGCAGAGACCATGACCTCAGCCACTCACTGACTGCTCTAACTGGACACGTTCACCTACACTGAAATTCAGTTTCTAATTTTAGGATCAAATAAATTAGGTCTAGAAATGAATGGGGCTAAAACAGGGATTAAAAATTTTGTTTCCTTATTTTTCATTAAAAAAACTATTCAGTTATACTTACAACCCTCAAAGGGACATCTTCTGCTTTCTGCCCCTTGGTTTTGGGTGATGGTGCAACAATCGCCGAGGGTGGGCCCTGGGAGGACCTGGTCACAGGGGTGGCAGGGCTGGGCTCACGTGTCCTCTTGTCCTTTCCTGGGTTTGGCTGTGAAGATAACAGGGGTGGTGGGCAGGGCACAAAAGGGAAGCAAAGTTCAGTTACACAACAACTTGACCACCTTCTCTCTTTAGTACACTGCTCTCTCTGTTTTGAAGCTTTTTTTTTAAACAATTCTCATATTTTATAAATAAAAAAGGATGAAATGGAACATCTGGATAAAATACCTTTTTCTTTTTCTGTTCATCGAGAATGTGTTCTGTCACTCTTTGGACAATTTCATCAATACTCAATCCTGAGAGTGAGTTCTTGTTTTTGCTTCGCACTTTTTTAATAAAACCAGCAAGCTCGGTGCTGAAAGGCAAAGTGACAACAGAAAGTTCTCTACCGCTAAGAAATACTACATGCCAATATTAATCCAACAGCCCAACCCGAAGAAACAAAGACAAGGCACACAAAATTAATTTGAAAACCACTGATAATAACAGTCACTGTATCTAAAAGCAGGTCTTTTTTTAAGACAGAGTCTCACTCTGTTGCCCAGGCTGGAGTGCAGTGGTGCCATCCTGCTTACTGAAACCTCCGCCTCTCGGGTTCAAGCAATTTTTGTATTTTATAAGAAGAGATGGGGTTTCATCAAATTAGCCAGGCTGGTCCTGAACTCCTGACATCATGTGATCCACCTGCCTCAGCCTGGCCTAAGCCACCAAGCCTGCTGGCCAATCATATTTTAACTGCCCCTTTGTTTACAAACTTCCATTTCGAAGGCTGTAATTAACACTGTCTCAGAAATAACAGCATATCCCGAAGGTCATTCCTGAGCACAGGGTCCTTTGTTCCAAGCTGCATTTCAGAGACACTGCCTCTACCTTACCATCTCCCACAGCTGAGACAAGAGGCACCTCTGGCCCCCTGGCACCAGCCTGCACAGCAGAAACCAGAGGTGGAGGCAGAAACACTCCTGAAGAGCTTGCCATCACCCCAACCCTATTTACAGCTCCTGCTTACTCAGGTAAGGGCAGCTTTTCCCCACTCACAAGAACACCTTGTTAACATGTTCACATGCCCCATTCACCGTGGAATTCCATTCAGTCTTCAACCTCATACTCTAACAAATCAGAGGTCTTGCCTGACAAGGTATAGGTTGCTGCTGCCTTCTTTGCTATATGTAATTTTGTTTCCCCAAATGATGCAAAATTATTGTCATGCAGTTCATTTACTGATTCCATAAAGCTAGTTTTAGATAGTGTTATTGGTCTCACCAAAATCTTAGCAAATTGTCATGGGTTCTGAAGAGATCCTATGACATTACCCAGTGGTCAATGTTTTCAATTTACATATGCACATTAAAAAATTTATTTGAGGCCAGGTGTGGTGGCTCATGCCTGTAACCTCAGCACTTTGGGAGGCCAAGATGGGTGAATCACTTGAGATCAGGAGTTCAAGACTAGCCTAGCCTATATGGTGAAATCCCATCTCTACTAAAAATACGAACATTAGCCAGGGTTGGTGGTGCATGCCTGTAATCCCAGCTTCTCAGGAAGCTGAGGCAGGAGAATCGCTTGAACCCAGGAGGCAGAGGTTGCAGGGAGGCAAGATGCCATTGCACTCCAGCCTAGGTGACAGAGACGGACTCTGTCTCCAAAAAAAAAAAACAATTTATTTGAAAATACTTATTTCTATATTTACAAAAAGAAGGAGCACCTGTCGTCTTTCTGAGCAAAACAACGATGCAACCCTTTTCATGTTAACACCTAACTGCTCTTGATTTTCTCTGGTCAGGAAACTTCAGCTCAACTAAGCATGGAACAGTCACAGACATTTTCTGTTCGTACCTGTTGTAACATGGGAATACCACTGACAGGTGCTCAATTATACTATTGAACGGCTTTTTTGGAGACTGGCTTGAACGTGCAGCACGTCCTGGAGGAACATGTTGCTTCTGATTAGCCACAGGTCTTTGCTCTGACAGAGCTGCCTGGCCAGCCCTTTTTGGCCCTGGCAGCTGAGTGGCTTCAGGCTGACTGGGAGGTGGCCCTGGCAAGAGTGCAGGAGGAGCCTCCTCTGGGGAATCGCCGGCAGAGAACACATTGGGATCCCTGTGAACTGCTGCGTGGCTTCCAGTCACGTCGCTTGCAGAAGTCACAAGCCCTGGGTCATCGTGGCCTGAAGAGTCAGGGAGTAACTCAGCATAAGCCTGTGAGGAACACACCAGAGTATGGATCACTTAGGGCTTCCCTTGAATTAAGAGGAACAAATGCCAAGGGCAAAGGCTGCTGAATGGATACAACAATAACGCAGCCCAGAAGCTCCATGCACAGGAAACCTGAATACTGCGAATTAAATATTTTTGTTTAAAAGAATTATTGATAATAACTTGTTAGTTATTAGAACAAGAGTAGGAGGGCTCAGACTTCTAAATAATTTTCTCTATAGGTCACTATTTTCTCTGTAAGATGAGAAAAACCACCTAAACTAGACCACTTCACCTGCCTACTGGCCGTCCTTCAGCCTGGTCACACTTCTCCCCTTCCAAGCTAAACCATGTAGCTGACAGATGGAACATCACAGTCCCCATACTCCCCAGAGCCGTCTCCATCTCAGGAGGGCCACCTCCTCTTCCCTTCCCAGCCCCACACTGTTGCGTTCTCCTGGCAGCTCTCAAGCCTCTGTCCATACCTGCAGTGCTGATGCTCCTCCCCAGGCAGCTGCCTGAGGCCGAATCTTTTAAAAAGTTTTCAGTCTAGAATATTTTCCTCAGATCCAAATCTGCAAATCCACTTGGGCGATTCCAAGGCAACCCAAACTCAATGTGTAGGAAACCAGCCTCAGGCAGCCTCCCCAATCCTGCTCTTCCCCTAGTACTCCTGGACGGAAGCCCAAGACTCACCCTTGACTCCCATGTGGACACATGGGGCCCGGTCTCCTGAGCAGCATGGCGCCTGCAAATGTACCCCTAACCACCTCTCTCACATCTGTTCTCTTCCCTCCACCCCCACTGTCATGCCCCATCCAGGACAGGCTGATGGCATAAGCTGATAACCAGCCAACTGGAAATCACTCAAGCCCCTCCTCAACACTCCCCCACACTAGTAAGCTCATCTTCAAAAAGCACACTAGCTCCCTGTAACCCTCAGATACATTCCGAGACCCCCAGTGAATGCCTGAGATCACAAAGAGTACCAAATCCTATGTATAATATGCACGAATTCCTTTTTCCTTCATCACAATTTCACAGACAGGATTCGTTCTGACCACAGATCTTAGCAACTTCAGGATACAATCTTTTCTCTCTTCTTGTTAGGTCAAGAATTTTCAGGTCTTCACCTAAAGGAAGCATTTTATTGCTTCTATAGCATATCTGAATGACCAGCATCATTACTCCCATGGTTTGGGGCCATTATGGAGTAAAATAGGGGCGACTTGGACACAAGCACTGGGGTAATGAGAAGTTCATCTGGTCACTGAGACGGTTTCTAGGTGCTTGTGGGCAGGGAGCAGCAACAGCATGAAGATGCTGGACAAAGGGAGGAGGCATGTCACAGGTGTGACCTTGTGAGATTTCAGATTTTATCACGCTACTCAAAACAGTGTGCAATTTAATACTTATGGATTATGTATTTCTGGAAATTTCCATTGAGTATTTTCTAACTGCGGTTGTCTGTAGATAATAAACCACGAAAAGTGAAGCTGTGAAGAAGGAAGATTCCTGTATGAATCTGCTGCTGTTCTCTTATTTGAGACCTATCTCATCTGGCCTAAGGAAGCTAGAAGCATCCAAACTGCTGTAACACAGCTTTTAAGGCGACTCCCTTGGCTCTGCCCCTGGGTACTTCTCCAGCCCGTGTCATACTGAGCTTCTATGACAGCAGGAAAGGAGTGTGTTCTCTCTCTCTCTAGGCTCCAGGTGCACTGTGTGTTCCATCTAGAGCTCTGACCCTCCAAACACACCCCCTCCTCCTTTGTCTGGTAAGTTCCTACTGCAGATCTCTGTCTCTGGGAGAGTTCTGGAATCTTCTGCTGAGGCTACACCTCTAGATTAGGTTAGTGGCCCCTGATTCACACTGCTCTAGCATTTTCCCTTGAGAAACCTCACTCCCCGTGCAGCTAACTATGGATTTAAAGTCTGTCTTTCCCCAAGCCAGTGTGCACTTTGAGGGCACAGCCCACATCAATCTTTATCACCACTAATTACCCAGTGAATGAATCAGGGAGAAATGAGATACAAAGTAAATAATTTTTAGGCACACTTATTACTCAAGCTCCTAGAATACTAAGAGTTCCCAGAATTTTGGATATGAAAATTCTTTTGAGTATTTATGAAATAACGTAAGTTAGAATTACAAACTAATAGTAAAATACCCTATTATTGAGAGCCAACATTTTCTCTATATGTATCTGTTACAAGAACTTGGAAAAACGATAAATGAGAAGTGCCCTTTAATGTAATTCTAAATAAAACTGCACGTTCAATGGAGAGGAAACTGGATCTCAACACAATATTCTACTCAGTTCAGGGTGGCCACACGTTTTCCACACTTAATTATTTTTTCAGATGAATTCACAGTAAGTTTGAATGTTTACTGTACAATGTACTGGTGAGAAAGAGACATTCAAGGCCAGGCTGAGATCTAACTCACGTGAGGGAAGGGCCACAGTGGGAGGCCCAGAGAGGGCCGCCCCTGACAGGTTTCCAGGGGCAGGCAGGATGCAGAGGACGGAGTTCCAAGCCACAAACAGCCCAGGCAAAGGTCTGGCAATAGTGGGAGGGTGCAAATCACATGGTGGGAAAGAGTCTCCTCTGTCTTTAGGAACCAGATTTCACTGTCCTGCCACAACATTCTGGAACCTCTCTCTTTCAGCTCTTGAACACAGTCCCCCTTTAATTTTGTTTTTCTTTTATACCTACGTTTTCTCTCAAGATCTAACTTTAAATGTCTATAGTCTGATCTCCTCTGGGCCTAATTCATTTCAATTTAGTATTTACTAAGCAACTGTTCTGTGCCCAAATCTAAGAAATACGGGTTTAGCCATATCGTAAAGTCCACAAAATACAATTTATGCTTTTCTTTACTGTGCTGTGTATTAAAATAAAAAGACAAGATTATTCACAGTTATTCACAAGATTCAGCAAATACCTCAAACAAGCAGTAAAATATGATGTGCCAGACCAACAAAGCCCTTTATGTCTCTGACATAGCAGCTTTTATTCTGTATTTGAGGGGGAAATCTCTTAAATTTTGGTCTTATGCACCAAATATCTAGGAATAAGAGTATAATCTGAGGTGGTGACAGGGTTCTGCTTGAATCACAGGCACCTGGATTATTCATTCAAAGTTAGGAATACATATACCAGACACACACACACACACACACACACACACACACACACACACACACGGCACCTGGATTATTCATTCAAAGTTAGGAATACATATACCGCCCCCCCACACACACACACACACAGAGATTGAGGCAGGGGGAGAGAGGAAAGAAAGGAGCCAGGCCAAGGTACAGGAGAATGATAGAAATGTAGCAATGGTGTATTCACCTCAGTCCATTCCTCATACAGATGTGGAAAGACTGATCTATTTTATATAAGAATGTTATAAAGCTTAAAAGGTTAACCAGTAGCACCAATAATGAAAACATTAAGTCAAGTATTAATCAATCTCATCCTCACTCCCAGAAAACAGTAACAAATAACTACTTTGGCCAGTTAAGAAATAAATTATGTTAAAAAAAAAAATGTGCTAGACTTACCATGTTACAGGTGGGAAATGAAAGCTCAGAAATCTGCACTTTAGAAAGTTCGCTGAGCCGAGAACCATTTTTAATTGCCTTAATTTGTTCTTCAAATTGAGACTGTGAGTAGAAAGGAAAGGGTGGGAAAGCCACGACTGCCAATTAATACTTTGTTTCTTACTATACATTATAAATGAAACATGACTGTCTTGTAAGGAAATTCAAAATAAGACCTCATTAATCCGAATGCTCCACAGCCTTTTCAAACATAATGCCTCTAATCTTACCAATCAAGGCAGAAGTCAAGATGGTTAATTAAGAAAATACCATTATGTCCATGAAAAGCTCATACTTTCGACAAAAAATATATTATTGATAATAACAGACAAAAAAGAAATAGTTTCAATATGACACTAGCCTCCCGAGAATTAAAAATATCATAAAGATTTTGACAGAATTAAAAGACTTTTTTTACAACTTACCTTTGCTTTCTCAATCTCTTTTGTAACATTAGAACGAAACAATTCCCATGAACATATGTCAGACTCCATGTCAGGATATGCTGCAGAATCACTGAAAAAGTATAATATAAAACTGGTTTAGAAATTAAAAAAATTAAAAGCACTTACGTACAAATAAACATCTAAACATGAGAGAAAGATACATTTTTTTTTTTTTTTGGGACGGAGTTTCGCTCTTGTTACCCAGGCTGCAGTGCAATGGCGCGATCTCGGCTCACCGCAACCTCCGCCTCCCGGGTTCAGGCAATTCTCCTGCCTCAGCCTCCTGAGTAGCTGGGATTACAGGCATGCACCACCATGCCCAGCTAATGTTTTTGTATTTTTAGTAGAGACGGGGTTTCACCGTATTGACCAGGATGGTCTCGATCTCTTGACCTCGTGATCCACCCGCCTCGGCCTCCCAAAGTGCTGGGATTACAGGCTTGAGCCACCGTGCCCGGCGGAAAGATACATTTAACATGATCAAATATACACAAAAAACCCCAACTATTTTTAAAGAATTGCTTATCTTAGAAACTTGCCTCTAGAGACACTTTAGAAAATTTTAATAAAAACTCTAAAACTGAAGGGCAGAGAGAAAATAATTCTCCTGAATTTTAAGTTCTTTTCCCAAATTTTAAAGTTTGACCATTCTTCATTTGACATCTTTATGTTTAATATTAAAGCCAGCCTCTGCATTCAAAGATTTTTTTTAAAAGGTAGTTTGAAACATTCAAAAGATTCCAATCAAACCCTAATCACTACCTTAATATAAAAATAAAGGATAGGCCTAAGATAAATTTATAATCTCAGCACCACCTCATGAATCTGGTCTATTGAAAGTGACAGATAAACTGACTACTCCTAATTGAGAGGATCAAAAACACTACCAATCTGTGTGTATAGTAAACCCCTCATTATGCATCTTGAAGAAAAACCACAGCATTCTTTTTACCTCTTTTCTGTTTCTATACTTTGGTGGAAAAGGCGGAATTAGCATGACATCCTGAAGAAAGAATCTTTGTATACTCTATAGTTTACTGCAAGAGTCGATACTATTAGATGAAATGAGTCTGAGATACCTTTGCTCCCCAGATGAGCCGCAATGCAGCCTATGACGGGTGCTTAGTACAGGCAGTTGACCACCACTTGGTCTCAACCTCAGCTGTACTAGTCCTGTAATCTAAATCAGCCTATTAGTTTACCCTTAATCAGAAAAATTTTCTCATGAAAAAAACTAAATCTTGAAAATGAAGAATGGGCCGAGGGTGGTGGCTCACACCTGTAATCCCAGCACTTTGGGAGGCCAAGGTGGGTGGATCACAAGGTCAGGAGTTAGAGACCAGCCTGGCCAACATGGTGAAACCCCATCTCTACTAAAAATACAAAAAAAAAAAAAATTAGCTGGGCATGGTGGTGCACACCTGTAATCCCAGCTACTCAGGAGGCTGAGGCAGGAGAATCCCTTGAACCCGGGAGGTGGAGGTTGCAGTGAGCTGCCGAGATCATGCCACTGCACTCCAGCCTGGGCAACAAAGCAAGGCTCCATCTCAAAAAAAAGAAAAAAAAGAAAACAAATAAGAACCATACATTAAAACTGACTGTACATGATTGACACAACCTCTGGTTCATTGCTGAGGGTTTGAAATTTGAATCAAAAGGCAAGCACCAGGAACGATGAAAAACCTGGGATTAAAAACGCAAAACGTGTGCATAGAACACGGTAAGAGAACCCAATGAAAAGTTATCTCACATGCAAAAAACCCACACAGAGAAGTGCTAAGTACTAGGGTGAAGAAGATCCTCTAGGAATCCCAGGCAAGCCTTATCTCAAAAACAAAAACAGGTAGAGATTGTATGGAGAGCTGAAAAAATTTAGCATGCGTGAATATACTTTGTAGTAACATTCCTATATACCGTCATGCAGACTGTTAAATAGCGATTATGGAAAGCAATTTGGCAAAAAATTTTAAAAGCCTTGAAAATGTGATCTTCATTCCAAAAATTTACTGCATGGATGTGACTAATAATCTGCATAAAGATTTAACAATGAGGATGCTCACTGCAGGGCGGCTAATATTAACAAAAATTCACAGACAACTTCACTGTCCCAGCACAGCAGAGTTTGATAAATCATGACATGTTTCTATGCTTGAATACTATCCAACCTTTCAAAATTAGGTTGGAGAAATGGAATTATCAATATGAAAAGAAATTTCCTATGTACTATTTAGTAAAAATAAATCTGCAAATTTTCATTTTTTCAAACACTTCATGAAAATATTCTAAAATACTGTTATATCTCCATTTAGAATTATGAATAATTTTTATATTTTTTGTTTGTATGTCTTAACTTTTCTACAATTGAACATGTATCAATCATGTAACTATGAAAAATAAAATGGTCCTAATACAAAATAATGTTTTTCTCAAATGGTCCTAGCTTTATCTTCTAAATGACGTGCTGAGAACGCCCACAAAACCAAATTACCGGCTAATCTGCTCCAGCTTCTTAAGATAGGCTTCTGCTTGTGACTCCATGATCTGTAGCTTATACACTTCACTCTCCTTCCAGTTTTCAAGGATGGATACCTGCCAGTTGGTTAGAGGACACATGAGTATTTTATAAATGACAGTCTGAAACTATTTTAAAGGTTAAAACTTAAACATTCGAAACCACTTTCTAATTTCTCCTTAAATGAAACATGACAGAATCACCAGAACTTGATTATATCATAGGTGATCATGAATTAGACGTTGAGATTTGAAAACGGAATAACAAAATGACATTACAAATGTATACCTTACACGATCCCTTTTGCAGATATGCATAACTACATGGCTTTCTGCTAAAGCCATATATAAACAGAGAGCCAGCTTAACTGCATGTGCACACCAGTGTGTATTACCTATGGTCCTGCAGCAGAATAACCCTTAATAAGGGCAGCGTCCTCTGCAACAGAAAAGCCTCAGAGAAGCTGTTCTTCTCAGCAAGGGTATCAAAAGCCTTTGGGATATGCTTTTAAGATTTTAGACTCTCTGTGGCTTCCCTTTAGAATCCAACTGGCCATTTTTATGAGAATCCCTGCAGGAAATGTAGAATGACCTCATGGTCCAAGTGATCCATTAAATAGCCTTTTAATCCAGGTGTCAGTAACCTTGACAGGACCCACCAGGCAAACCTGCTTGCCAAATGGTGGTAAACGTGAACTAAACAAGCTCAGGAATACAGATGCAGGTGTGGGACTCACAGAATATTCACACTTCGGCTCTCTTTTTCCTTTCCTCTCCTTAGAAACAGGTGCATAGTCTATTAAGGGAAAAGCCTAATGCTTGCAGACTGTATAAAGGAAGTCTTTTCTTATTTTACCAGAATAATCACAGACACATATGCCAATAAATATCATTTGTCAGCTAGAGAAACATAAGAGAATAATGTTTTAGGAACGAAATAAAATACAGCCAGATGTCATTTTGATTTTTGTCTTAGTAATTTCTCAAACAGTGTACTGACATTGTTATATATTCTTCTAGGGGGCAGGAGGAGTGTATTCTTAATACGTGGATTATTTTCAATTTCCTTTCCAAGTATTGGCAAATATGGTTGACTACTTCATGGTACATCACTTGACTAAATATGATGAAAGTATTCAAAGTGTACAGTATAGGAAATGAGTGAATTATAATGGTAAAAAAGGAAAGCAGGTTACAAAATTTGGTGTACACTATGAGTGCATTTAAGTAACAACATAAGCATACCGGTAAAACATCACAAGGCTATAGGCAAGAAAAAGAGTGGTCGTTTTAGGGAGAATATATTATGGGTGACAGGGTATCCTTTAGGCACCACACTTTTCAGTAATGTCTGTTATGCCTTGTATGTCATTGAAGTAACACAGAAACAAATGACAAATGCCATAGCCATCACTAAGTGTCATGGACTCACCTCTGCAGCCACAGCTCTCTGATGACTCTCTTCACAATCCTCTTTCCCTTTCTTTATACACTCTTCTATTTTCATTTTCTCATTTGTAAATGTGTTGCTACAAATATTGAAGAAAAAAAAAACCTTCTTGAACAAAATTTCACAGTGAGATGACAAAAGCTTCAGGCTGGATGAGCTTTGAAACCGCACCACAAAAGTCTCAGCTACAACTTCCAGAGCAGTTCTCACCGCATATTTTACTACATAAAACACAGAATTACATGTACTCTTCATGCTTTACAAGTGATCAAAGGCAGGTATGAAACGGAAGTGCATATTTGGTGGGCATGCTGAGAATCAGGTGAGGGCACTGTTCCAGTTCACCATTTTTATGAGGTAGGTGGAGTACAATCTGGTGACATTAATAATCTGTACAGACCAGGTACAGTGGCTCAGGTCTGTAATCCCAGTACTTTGGGAGGCTGAGGCAGGCAGATCGTTTGGGCCCAGGAGTTCAAGACCAGCCTAGGCAGCATGGCAAAACCCTATCTCTACAAAAAATACAATGGTGGTGTGTGTCTGTAGTCCCAACTGCTCAGGAGGCTAAGGCAAGAGAATTGCTTGAGCTGGGAGATGAAGGTTGGAGTGAGCCATGACTACACTACTGTATTCCAGCCTGGGTGACAGGGCAAGACTCTGTCTCAAAAATAAATAAATAAATAATAATAAAAAAAAAAAAAACCTCATAAACATTCCCCATCCTTTGAGCCAGAAATTCTGTTTTGACGCATATTACAAGGAAAGGACCCAAAGGGAAAAGGCAATCTGTACAAAATTATTCAAAAAAGGGGATGGAAATGTGCATATGAAACAATATTCAGTGAGAAAAGCAGAATGCAACTGCTTATCACTGAATGTATTCGTTACTAATATGTGAAAACATATTATTTCCATTAGCAATGGTAAAAAGGAAACTTTATATAGATGCATAATAAAAATTTAATGAACCTATAATTATAGAGCAATAAGAGCAACGAACTACCAGCCTACAGTGGAGACGAATATTCCAAGTAACACAAAAAGTTTTTAAAACATGTTTTTAGTTTCAAGTTAATCCAAAAAAAGTTACTGACAACAATAAATTCAGTATTTTTATATTGACAATGGGAAATAAATGCAGAAACTTTATAAAATAAAAATATTTAAATATTTTTAAATATTTATAATTTTTAAAATGCAATAGGAGTAGAAATAAAGAAAACAAACATAATTATTTAAAAGAAATAGACAAATAACAATATATTTCAAAGTCTTTTTTGTGCTTGTACTCCTGGCATTAAAAGTATTAAAAGATATTAAAAATAAATTTAAGCTTAATTTGCCTGATTTCAGGGGACTGATCCAGATGTAATTCATATTCCTTATCCTTTTCATCATTTTTCTGGGTATACCTATAAAAGCATAATCACCAAATATTAATTTTGAAAATTCTTTTAACAGGACCCCCACACAGTAAATTCTACCCATATCCTTATAAACATTTCTTGAATTTTTACATTTTGTTTCATTTCTAGTATCTTCTAAATAGGAAAATCATTTGAGGTCATTTCTCTTTTGGGAAGCTTTCCTTCCAGATCACCTTTTTCTTCATTCTAAGTTATATGCTTACAGGTAAATCACCCTATCTCAGTCTAAGATGCGCACCTCAAGATGGTTTCAACAGGAGACAGAGAACACAGGTATTGTGGCATCATCATGAGTGCAACCAGTGGTTCTTATTCAAAATGAGAAGATGTGGATTCTTATTCAAAATGAAAACAGCCTTCTACTCTCTAAAATAGAACTTACAGTCAAAACGAGCATGCACACACACACACACACGCGCGCGCACGTGCACACATACGCTCTGATAATCCTTCAAAACAAGCATGTGAATCTGATTCTTGAGCCATGCCCTGCTCAAAGAGGGTTCTGCCTCTTCTTTCATGCTACCCTGATACCTTTGCAGTCATCTCTGCTTACTAAAACCGCTTGTTTCTAATACAAGCCAGTTTAACCATTATTTTACTTCTTTTGTAAAAGACTTCCTCCCTCCTCTAAATAGACAAATACCAGGTGATGCTCTCATGGAAGCCCTGCTTTCTTTCATGGCCACCTGTGGTTTGTGTCACTGCACCAATCATGAGCTCTATGTCCTAGTCATTTCTTAATGAATAAGTGTGATTGAGAGCACAGAAACATCCAAGAAATCATTCTTCATGCCCTTTGTGCATCTCTGAGAAAGAGATCCAAAAAGTTTTAAGATTTTACTTTAAAATCTAAATAGAAAAATTGAGCTTTAAAGCATTTATTTGGAAAGTGTAAAAAGCAGGCTAGGTGCAGAGGTTCATGCCTGTAATCCCAGCACTTTAGGAGGCCGAGACGGGTGGATCACCGAGGTCAGGAGTTCGAGAACAGCCTGGCCAACATGGTGAAACCCCATCTCTACTAAAAAAAATATATGGGCTGGGCACGGTGGCTCATGCCTGTAATTCCAGCACTCTGGGAGGCCGAGGTGGGTGGATCACCTGAGGTCAAGAGTTCAAGACCAGCCTGGCCAACATGGAGAAACTCTGTCTCTACTAAAAACACAAAAATTAGCCAGGCATGGTGGCACACATCTGTAATCCCAGCTACTCAGGAGGCTGAAGCAGGAGAATTACTCCAACCCAGGAGGCAGACGTTTCAGTGAGCCAAGATTGTGCCATTGCACTCCAGCCTGGGCAACAGAGTGAGAATCCATCTCAAACAAACAAACAAAAAAATTAGTAGGGCGTGGTGGGCGCCTGTAATCCTAGCTACTCCGGAGGTTGAGGGAGGAGAATTGCTTGAACCTGGGAGGTGGAGGTTGCAGTGAGCCGAGATCATGCCATTGCACTCCAGCCTGGGCAACAAGAGTTAAACTCTGTCTCAAAAAAAAAAAAAAAAAAAGGCTTAGAAAGAAGCCTATGGCTTATCTTTAAATTGTGACAGGAAAGATGAAGAATCTATTAATAAAGTAGAAGAAAAAAGTCAACAATAAAAAGTTTATTCTTCAGCAGAAATTAACATGCTAGCACAGAAAAAAAAATTTCTTACAGTGTGACAGCATGTCTGAAATGAACGTAAAAAGTATGATGAACATAAATATTTCCACATTTTTTAGTAACACAATGACTAAGACTGGACATGCCCAAATATTAGAAGTAAAAAGCTTTACGGACATTATCGTTTCCTTAAGTGTGTTCTACTAATGAAGCTACTTTGATCATCAAAATGACATGACGCAGGGAGTAAAAATTCTAAGGCAGTGTTTTACTCTTCCTCACTGTTTGAGGACTGCCTAAAAACCGCCCAAATGTCATGCTAGCAAGACTCATAATAAAAGTCATCTGATCATACAGCATGCAGCATGGAAAAACACAAAAGCCCTTGAAAGGTGAGTGTGTGGCGTGGCCCTCAACGAACCCAGCCTCCCATTATTGATGCCCTAAAATCTGGGCTAAGGAGCCTATGACTTGTTTTAAGCAATAAAAAGTGACAGAGATGATTCTGTGACAGTTCTGGGCCTGAGCCTTCAGGAGGCCTAGCGGCTTCCACTTCTGCACCCTTAGAAGTCCTTAGCCACCACGTAAGAAGTCTGGCTATCATGCTAGAGATCACATGGAAAGACCACATAAATAAAAATCACAGAGAGGCTACACAGAGAGAAAGTGAGGCCGAGCCACCCCAGCATCCCAGCTGAGGCTAGCCCCAGTCATCACCCAGATAAATTCAGCCACATGAGGACACCTAGCAAAACCAGCAGAAGAATGGTCCGGCTGAACTCAGCCCAGATTGGAGGACCATGAGCAAATATGATGGCTGCTAACCAAGACACTGAGTTTTGGGTGTTTTCTTACACAGTGGTAGAAAACAAGCTGAAGAATTTGACATATCACTGTTGAGAGTAGAGGGAAGTTAGGGATGGATCACAAAAGATCTTAAAACACACTCTCAGCCCACCTGACAATCATGCCCAGGATCTGTGTATGTTATCAAATCCTTCACACTACAAGACCAAATTTTATTAAGTTAATGATTCAGGATAAAGTTATAAACATCATAATCATCACAGAATCTTACTTTTGAAAATAATCTTAGATTTTCCACCAGCCCCCATGTTTTGCCAATAAGAAAAAAGAGGGCCAGAGAAAGGGATGGTGTTCTAACTGGAAGGAAGTCAGTTCCTTGGGGATTCCCAGCTCCATGCTACTCTCACTTTTATTTATCTGAAAAAAATGTTAAGTTTAGAAAAAAATTTAGGTGAGGTAACTACTCAATGAATGCTTTTTAAATTGAGACAAAAACTGAAAACAGTACCTTTTCATTTTTACTTTACTTGATAACATTTAAATTAAATATCAAAAATGTGAAAATAACCAAAAGCTAAAACATTTTTTAAAAATAAAAATTACTGCCTTTCAATCATTACTTACATTTCACTGGCATTTGAAATCTTTTTAATTTTCTTCTTCAGTGATTTTAGTCTCTCTTGTATTTCTTTTTTTTCCTGTTGCCATTTTTTAATTTCTCTTTCCAAATCTTGAAGAAACCAATCTAATTCCGTCTTTGAGATCTAAAAGCATTTAGAAAGTACTTAAATAAATGGCAAGATATACTTTTTAACAAAAAAGACTGAAAGGCTTTAATTGTGATGGAGTCTAGCTTAAATAATGACTCAAGTTCAGTGGAACAGACACTCCCAACCTGGCACCCTGTGGCAGGCTATGTCCCCCAGCTAAGCCTGGGACACCAAGTCACACCAGACAGCCACATCCTACCCACTACGTGCACCTGATTACAGCAATGTGCCCAGAGGTATCCACATTTCACTCTCTAGCATAAATGATTCTCTAATCTACAGAGATGTTTTAGTTGGCAAGTCCAATAGTTTTTGTTTGCTATATAAATATAAATATAATACTCTCGCTGGTCATTAAAGGCATTTGGGTTGAGTTACCTGCCAGAATTTCAGATAGTGTGACAAAGAAAAACGAAAACCTCTTTGGAGACAATGCTAGTTAGCGTTCCCCTGGAGGATCTGGTACAGCACCACCTGACATCCAGCCCTCTTTGTCAGCTTCCTATGTAGTTGCTGCTTTTTGAAACTTCTGAATCTACAAATTCTCTAAAGCTTGTATTTATTTTTTGAAGTATCATCCATTCAATGGTAGCAAGGGGTACGTGCTTATCAATACCAGTCACTTATAAGTAAAACATTCCCTATGTTATTATTTCTAATAACTAATTTAAATGTGAATCAAAGCAATATTTAAAGGAAACATAAATATTTTCTAGTTTAAAATCCCACTATTGTCAATGATGGCTTAATAAAATCCTAACTTCACATTTGCTTTGGGGAAACTTTTCATTTTTTACTTCCTATCAGGTTCCCTAGAGCCTGAACTTCCTGCTTTGACTTAAAGCACACTTAGGTCACTGAGGAACACAGTTCAGCTATAGAAATTCAAGGTCTTCTCTATCAGAAAGGACACTAAAGTCAACTACATGGATTCCATAGGAAATAATGGCCCTCAGGCCAAAAGTTCTACCAATTTAAGAGGCCACTGCTCCCTCTTCAGCCTCAGACACCAAGGTTTTCAATGTTTCTGGAAGGCAGATTTGCTAACCAATCAAGGTTCTTTAAGATTTCTGAGTCCTACAGCAGGGATAAGGTTGATTTTGGCACAGGAGAACTGTTCTTAGATGGCAGAAACTGAACCACAGCTCAGTAACATTCCCTTTAACATGGGAGCCAGTTCTCATATTTTCTTTGCTGCAACTTTGTTGATCCTCAATTTCTTGAGTCATTACTGTGACTGGGGTAACCACCATGCCTACTCTACTTAGAATCCTGTGTTCTACCTGGTCCAGTTCTATTACCAGGGCCAATGTGCATGTGCACGCCTTGCTGCTGGCAGCCAAGCCCATCTTGTTTCTCACCTATCCTTTGCTGCTATTCTGAGCCAATGATCTCACCTGGGATCCAGCCTTTTGGCTAGGAGAATATGCGCAACCACAGGGTTATGCTGGGGCATGAGAACCTAGTTGGCAACAAGTTCCTAAGGGAGTTCAAGTATCAAGAAGCACAAAGTATTATAAACACATGCGCACATACATACACATATAGCTCAGCCAGTGAAAATACTACATGAGTTAATCTTCTATTTGTACTAACCACTGCTGAATGCCATAGCTGCCTCATAATCCTAAACAGGTCAGCTATCACAAGCTTGTTTCTGACTGCACGAAAGACAGAATGATCTCCTGAATCTTTTTCTTTCAAACTTAACATAAAACAAATAGGCGACACACAACTGTAACCGCTATATGTACAGTTTATTGACATAACTATAAACACCTTCTGATGGTCTTTTTCTCAATTAGAAATAATTTGTTTTCTTACCTTTTTTATTAAACCTCAATGTTGTTCTAAAATAAATAGTTGAGGTACCTTTGATAATTTAATATACATAAATTTTTTAAAAGACACAAAGAATGCTAAGCAGGTAATGAAAATAGAATAAAAAGAGAGAAATGACAATACAAAACCATGAGTCAGAGTAATATAAAAATGAATGGCATGAGATCCTAACCATTCTATAGAAATAACAGGCCGAGCGCGCTGGCTCACGCCTGTAATCCCAGCACTTTGGGAGGCCGAGGCGGGTGGATCACGAGGTCAAGAGATCGAGACCATCCTGGTCAACATGGTGAAACCCCGTCTCTACTAAAAATACAAAAAAATTAGCTGGGCATGGTGGTGCGTGCCTGTAATCCCAGCTACTCAGGAGGCTGAGGCAGGAGAATTGCCTGAACCCAGGAGGCGGAGGTTGCGGTGAGCAGAGATCGCGCCATTGCACTCCAGCCTAGGTAACAAGAGCGAAAATCCGTCTCAAAAAAAAAAAAAAAAAAAGAAATAACATTAAAACTGTCTGGTAGACAAGGTCAAAGAGAAAACATAATGAGCTGTACGATTCAGTATCCACAACACAAAAACTAGTTGCACAAGAGAGGCCCTGGCAGCGATGGTGGACAGAAGGGCCTCACGAAGAGGATTAATGCAGAAACACCTCACAAGACCAGCACAGAGCCTGGAACTTGAATGAACATTCAAGAAACATTTGTCACATGAAAGAATGGATAATATCCCCAACTCCATATAGCAGTAAACAAAGCAGCAAATTTCATAGAATGTGAGCCTGATGTCCTCTGATGTAGGCTGATGGAGAATATAAAAACACAATTCATTAAATGCAGCTTTTCAGGGGGTGACACACACATTGTTTGATAAACATATGCCAAGCTTTGAGTCTGTATACTGAGCTAGGCGCTGTCAACCAACGATGACTATAAAAACCAGCCAGGTGTGGTGGCTCACACCTGTAATCCCAGGACTTTGGGAGGCGGAGGTGGGCGGATGACGAGGTCAAGAGATCGAGACCATCCTGGCCAACATGGTGAAACCCATCTCTATTAAAAATACAAAAATTAACTGGCGTGATGGCACGTGCCTGTAATCCCAGCTACTTGGGAGGCTGAGGCAGGAGAATCGCTTGAATCCGGAAGGCGGAGCTTGGAGTGAGCCGAGATGGCACCACTGCACTCCAGCTTGGTGACAGAGTGAGACTCTGTCTAGAAAAAAAACAAAAAACAAAAAACAACATCCTTCTGGGCATAGTAGCATGTCTTTGTAGTCTCAACTTCTCAGGAGTCTGAAGCAAGAGGATCCCTTGAGCCCAGGAGTTCCACCTTGACAATATAACGAGACCCCCATGTCAAAAAACAAGCAAAACAAAACAAAAAAACAGTCCTACTCTCAAGAAGATCACAGGTGGAGAAAATATGCATAAAAGATAATTACTATACCATGCCATTCTAAAATTAATTCAAAATGTATCACAGACCTAAATGGGTAAGCTAAAACTATAAAACTCTTAGAAAATACAGAATATTGGCTGGGCACAGTGGCTCACCCCTGTAATCCCAGTACTTTGGGAAGCCGACGCAGGTGGATCGCCTGAGGTCAGGAGTTTGAGCCCAGCCTGGCCAACATAGTGAAACCCCGTCTCTACTAAAAATGCAAAAAATTAGCTGGGCATGGTGGTGGGTGCCTATAATCCCAGCTACTCGGGAGGCTGATGCAGAACCCAGGAGGTGGAGGTTGCAGTGAACCGAGATCATGCCATTGCACTCCAGCCTGGGCAGCAAGAGCAAAACTCCATCTGAAAAAAATAAAAAAATAAAAAACAAATACAGAACATTAACTCTCAGTGCCCTTGAGGCAGAGAGGAGTTTCTTAGCTATGACACCAAAGGCACAAGTAATAAAAGAATAAAAGAAATTGGACTTAGTGTATTGAAAATAAAACCTTTTGTGCTGCAAATGATACCATAAAATGGAGATGGGAGGATGGAAGTAATTATTTGCAAATCACATATTTGACAAGGAACTTGTATCCAGAATGTATAAAAACTCTTTGTTTTTGTTTTGTTGGGACAGGGTCTTGCTCTGTTGTCCAAAGTGCAGTGGCGAGATCATGGCTCACTGCAGCCTTGACCTCCTGGTCTCAAGTGATTTTCCCACCATAGCCTCCTGAGTAGCTGGGACTACAGGTATGTATCACCATACCTAACTATTTATTTATTTTTCTTTTTTGTAGAGAGTGAGGGTCTCATCACATTGCCTTGGCTGGTCTTGAACTCCTGGGCTCAAGCAATTCTCCCACTTCAGCCTCCCAAAGTGCTGGGATGACAGGTGCGAGCCCTGTTTTGTTTTGTTTCTTTTTTTTTTTTTTCTTTTGAGACAGAGTCTCACTCTGCTGTTGCCCAGGTTGTAGTGCAATGGCATGATCCTGGCTCACGGTAGCCTCAAAACTCCAGGGCTCAAGTGATTCTCTCAGTCAGCCTCCCAAGTAGCTGGGACTGCAGCAGGGCACCATCATGCCTGGGTAATTTTTTTACTTTTTGTAGAGATAGGATCTTGCCAAGTTGTCCAGGCTGGTCTCAAACTCCTGGGCTCAAGCGACCTTCCTGCCTTGGTCTCTCAAAGTGGTAATTTTATAGGTGTGGGTCACCATACCTGGCCCAAAAACTCTTGTAAGTAAATAACAGAAAGACAAACTCAATTCATAAATGAATAAAGGATCTGAATAGACATTCCTTCAAAGAAGATATACAAATGGCTAATAAGCACATGAAAAGATGCTCAATATCATTAGCCTTTAGGGAAATAAAAATCAAAATCACAATGAGATACCACTCCAAACCCATTAGGATGCCTAAATAAAAAGACAAATGATGGTAAGTGTAAGTGAGGATGGAGAAATTGGAACCTTCATATGCTGCTGGCATGATGGTTTTGGAACAGCCTCGCAGTTCCTCAAATGGTTAAATATGGCATTGCCACATGATCAGCAATTTCACTCCTACACATATATCTAAAAGAAATCAAAACATATGTCCACAAACTGTCCATGAATGTTCATAGCAGCACTATTCAGAATAGTGAAAAAGTGGGAAGAACTCAAATGTCAATCAGCTGGTGAATGAATAAAATGTGATATAGTCATACAATAGAATATTATTCCACAGTAAAAAGGAATGACATACTGATACATACTAACATAGATGGATATACATGGATGAACCTTGAAAACACTGTAAGTGAAAGAAGACACTTATAAAAGACTACATGTAACATGATCCATTTATACAAAATGCCCAGAATAGACAAATCTAGAGAGTACATCAGTGGCTGCCAAGGGCTGGGAGACAGAAGAGAATGGGTAGTGACAGCTAGTGCATTTAAGATTTCTTTTTAGGTTGATGAAAACGGTTGAAACTTAGACAGTGCTACGCACAGCCCTGTGCATATACCAGAACAATTAAAATACCTATTTTAAATGGGTAAATTTTATGCTACGGTTAATTATATCTCAGTAAAGACGTTACAAAATGGTAATTTCTGTATCACATAGTCATTATTACCACCACTGCATGAACAAAGGCCTGTAAGGAAGCCTGAGGTTGCCATCAACAACTGCTTCCTCAAGAAAGTGATGCCCAAAGGATAAGCAGGAGGGTGCCAGGCTTAGGGAGAAGGAAAACCACTCCAGGCAGAACGGATGGTACTGGGAAAAGGTTTGGAAGTGAGAAATTGAATGACAAACATTATCCATTAAATTAGAGAACAATGCAGAGAACTGGCAAGGGGGAAGGCAGAAGATGAAGCAGGCACCAATCACAGAAGGCTCTTGGTAATTACTGAGTGTTAGTAAATTACTGGTGCTGACCTACTATAGTGGAGGGATAGCATTCATAGTTCCATCCTTCACACTCTGTAGCCACTCCATTTGTCATGTGACCTTGCAGTTCCCATCACTAATGAGGCAAAGTCTATTTTCCCCAGCCCTGACCCTGGTGGCTACGTGACTACTTTTGCCAGTGGGGTCTGAGCAGACCTGAAGTCAGCAGTTTTGAAAGGCGCTCATGTGGCCAGCTTGGCTTGCCCTTGAACCTTCCTACTGCCTTGAGAATAGGATTTTCAGGGTGGAAGATGCAAGACGTGGAAGAGAGCTAGTTGTCCCAGTCATCCCAGCTGAGGCCATTCTAGATCAATCAATCCATAGCCAGCTGATCCCAGATATGTAGGCAAGAACAGCAAAGACATTGCAGAGCTCTTGCTGGCCCAAAGGTGAACTAACCCAGCCAAGCCCAAGCAGGACCAACCGATCCAGACCTCCTACACTTAGTGTTTACAGTCATGTGTCACTGGGGTTTTCTGGATGGGAGTTACTCAGTGTTCTTATGACAGTGATTAACTGATATGCCTACACCACTGTAAAGTGGTGAGAAACCTTCCTAGCAGTTAGCTGAACTGGGCTGTGGAACTGACTTTCTCTTAAGAGAGGACAAATGCATGGGCTCTGGAGCCTGACACTCATGACCTGTTCTGCTACTTCGTGCTGGTGTGACTTGGGGCAAGCCGCATTAGCTGCTCCCACCCTCGTTTCCTCATCAGTAACATGGATATTAGTGTACTAGAGTATAACACTATTGTATGAGGACTGTTTTGAGATTCATGTAAAAATTAGCAATTGAGTACGGCACATAATAGGAGCTTGATAAATGTTAGATTTAAAAAAGGCTGAACTTGACAAGGACTCATGACTGAAGAGGAGAATCCCTACCTCTGCACCGGTGTGGGCTGAGGAAGTTTTGGCAGGCAGGGCCAAGATTCTCTTCTAATACTAACAAGGTCCAAAAATCTACCCTATAAATTATTCCAGGCCAAATGATTTGACAGTGTTTTAAGAGCTGATATTGACTCAATGCCCATCTTAGCATCCCATTAAAGCACCTTAAGACCATATGTCCTGGGCAGATAGAGAGTGATTGATTAATAGATATGGGGTTTCTATTTGGGGATGATAAAAGTTTTCTGGAATTAGATAGTGGTAATGGTTATACAATAATGTGAATATTCAAAACCACTATATTGTATACTTTGTAATGGTTAAAACAGCAAATTTTATGTTACGTGAATTATTCTCAAGCAAACAAAAATGAACATATGTCCTTGAGCAATAGTGCAACCAGTTATAACCCGGCAGTCACAGGTTAGGGTACATAAAAAAAAAAACAGGAGATTCTGGCTTTAAAAAAGCTACTTTTTTACCAGCAGAGACTAGGTAACTGTACCAATTACCTATAGAGGCCGTTCCTAGCTCATGAATAATAATAGAACCCCATCAGCTATATAAAATAGCTAGCTCAGATTTTTACTGATGCTTAGTACATGCTAAGCATTCTTTTTTTTTTTTTTTTTTTTTGTTTTTGTGAGGGGGATTTTCGCTTTTTTACCCAGGCTGGAGTGTAATGGCGCGATCTCGGCTCACCGCAACCTCCGCCTCCTGGGTTCCGGCAATTCTCCTGCCTCAACCTCCTGAGTAGCTGGGATTACAGGCACGCGCCACCATGCCCAGCTAATGTTTTGTATTTTTAGTAGAGACGGGGTTTCACCATGTTGACCAGGATGGTCTCGATCTCTTGACCTCGTGATCCACCCGCCTCGGCCTCCCAAAGTGCTGGGATTACAGGCTTGAGCCACCGCGCCCGGCCCATGCTAAGCATTCTTAAAGTGGTTTGTAAAAAAATGATTTTCTTAGCAGAGGCACAAGTAGAATTTTGGGTGGGACAGTTCCACCTTGGGTACTGCACTTACTATCTGTGGCTATCCCTTGTCCTTTTTCAACCACCCCAGGTGAAGCCTCACAAAGCTGTGACGTAGGCAATATATTATTAACGAGAACACTGCGGGCAAAGAGGCTGAAGAACTGTCTTAACACCACGAAGCTATTAGGTGGTGGTGCCGGGGAGTGGTGTGGACAGTGGGACCCTAAGGCTCTCAGATTTCTATAGCTTCCCTGTTTTTCTGTTCTCTATAAGGGGCTCGGTGTGCATTTGCTACATCCAAACATGGCATCAAGTAACTGGAGTAAAAGGAAAAGTTGGCTAGCTCATAACCTCAGCAATCTGCGGTCAAAGGCCAAAGGGAAAGATCAGGAAAAGCCACACGTTTTCTTTCTATGTTTATAAAAAATTTCTCCGTGAGCTATGAGCATAATCACTATTAATAAAGAAATGACTGTGGCTAAATCTCATCTATTGTTGTGTGGACACCAATCCAAGGAACTCAGATTAGTGACTTATCCTGGTAGGAAATAGGTACACATTTTATGTGGCAAGTCTAATTACTTATCAGGCTTATAATTTGGGGGGCTTAGTAACTGCCCTTTTAAGGCACTCTTGAGTAGGACCACACAACAGCACACTCAAAGCCTTAACAAGTTAAAAAAAAAAAAAAAAAAGCCCAAACCTGGAGCTGTGGCTCCCTTGCAGCCCCTACACCACCCGTGGGTGCTTGATTTCCCAGACTCTTCTGGACTGACTGTACAAGATTTGTGTACACATTACCTGTGTGATGAACTGTACACATACAGCATGCAGTCCGACCAGCAATTCAGAAAGCTCAAAAAGCCAGAAAGATACCTCACTGGCTGAATGCTACCTTTAAGTGACTATGTCTCCAATCTGCCCTCATCACTCAAACAAGCAGCCACAGGCATTCCCACACGGATTTATTAAAACTGAAATTTCCTGAGGCAAAGTAAGGTTTATAAAATTACTGTTTTGTTAAACCCCTGGGTGGCTTATAGAAACCTGTGTTCCATATGTCACTAGGCTATGTAGAGTTTTGCTTTTTGTTCTTTTTTCCTTCTCCCAGTCAGGAAACTGAGTAGAAAGTCTCTGGTTCTATCTAATTCTTGTCTTTAGAATCTCCCCTGTCCCATCTTGAGTAACAGCTCTTGGGGAGATGTTATGACAGTTACCTTTACAAACTGAACCTAAGATTTCTACTAAAATCTTAGTAAACAAGTTTCCTGATTAAGGTCCCACTAAGCTGATTTTCTTCTATTTAATATGTTACCCCAGCTATTAATCCAGACTTCTGAAACAAACTCCTCCTTTCTTAAACGAATTAGTATCCTTTTGTTACCTTTCTAAACAGATGATGGTAGCTTTTAAAAATAAATGCACCATAATTTCCTCACACCTATGATTCCATTTCCCCACTAATTCAGTTTGGCTTTGTAACTAATTGCTACCCCTCCACTAACCATGTATTTAATGATCAATCTTGACTAACAATTCAAGGTAGATGCTACCTTGAAGGTAGCATCTCTATCTTGTTGAGATCGGCAGATCTCAACAAGATACTCTGGCTGACTTTACAGTTCTAGTTTGTCTAAGGCTCCATGTGTTATTCTTATACTTCCTTAGGAGTAAGATAAAGATGATGATAAACGCAGTGGCAGCCAATACCTACTAAGTCCTTACTAACAAGGCGGTTTTAAGTACTTTATAAGTATTAATCTAACCATACAAAATGTACGCTATTATTACTCAAATTTTCCAAGTAAGGAATTAATGCACAGAGAAGGTAAGTAAATTGCCCAAGAATAGAACTAGTATAGAACCAAGCCTAGATCCGAACCCAGCCAGTCTTGTCTCCAGGGCTCTCATTCTGAACCTCTATTGCTATGCTGCCTCTCAATATAAACAAGAATTTACCTCAGAGCTCATAAAATAGAGTTTCACTTAACCAAGCAAACTGAACTATAGCTAAACAAAAACCCAGATTTACAGCCCCTTTCTCATAAGGCAGTTTGCAGAGGTTCTAAAGCAAAGCAAGAAATAACCACTTTACTATATCACAAAGAAATCTGAAGGAGGCAATTCTGAGAAAGAATCTTTTGTTTAGCCAACAATGCAGAAGTTCAGCTGAGGCTGCACAAGCACGGTTACACTCATATTCTCCTAATTATGCTGCATGCAATTAAAGACAAGTTTCAGATAGGATTACCTTGTTTTCTTCTAAGTTCCTTTTCAACTTTTCTTCCAGGTCCCTGGTCTCCTCTAAGCCCTTAAGTTTTATCTGCTCATAATTTTCATATGCTTCTTTAAGCTGCTCTTGTAATACTTGGTACTCCTTTTCAATCTGTGAAATTTCCCCCTAAAAATGAATTGCAAAACAATCTGTTAAAAATCATTTAAAATGTCTACTTATGATCTTGTTCTTTACTGTTTCTTAAAATAAAGAAGAGTAAAAGGCAGATGAAAATTTACAAGGGAAATGTCACAATAACTCAGGAATTTAAAACCCCTAAACACTGGTTAGCAAAACCAGCTCTTTGATAAACATAATCATTCATATTACTGGAATTCATAAATTCTCCAATCTATACTAATTAGTTCTGAATATTTGTTTTAGAAGGGTTCAGTATTAGATCAACAATTTGATTAAAATGTCACTCTCCACAATTAACACCAAAGATTATTGATTAGGTTTAAAAAGCTTGCACATATTACACATATTTTAGTTATAAACAGAACATATTAACTTTGGCTTTAAGTGTTTCAAATAAATCGTTGCTGGCTATTTCAAAAGACAAATTAAAATATTATCAATGAATTATTGTCAATTACGTTTCCTTTTTTTTTTTTTTTTTTTGAGTCTCGCTGTGGCGCAGGCTGGAGTGCAATGGTACAGTCTTGGCTTACTGCAAAGTCTACCTCCCAGATTCAAGTGATTCTCCTACTTCAGCCTCCAGAGTAGCTAGGACTACAGGCGCATACCACCACACCTGGGTAATTTTTGTATTTTCAGTAGAGATGAGGTTTCACCATGTTGCTCAGGCTGGTCTCAAACTCCTGACCCCATGATCCGCCTGCCTCAGCCTCCCAAAGTGCTGGGATTACAGGCGTGAGCCACTGCGCCTGACCATCAGTTATATTTCTTGCACCAGCTTAACAACAAAAAATTGCAGTGAACCGAGATTGCACCATTGCACTCCAGCCTGGGTGACAGGACGAGACTCTGTCTCAAATCAAAAACAAAAACAAAACCCAAAGGCAGGCTTTGGAAATCTATCCCAGGCACAAACCTGGTTCCACCTATGACATCTCCTGTACCTTTCCCCAATACCTTAGCATCTTTCAAGTATAAAAAAGCAGGAAATCAAATATTTGAAACTCTGTGAATGATCAGTTAGAGAACTGTGAATTATGGTCAGATTGACCATCCATGCCAGTTTGCTTTGGACCATGCCACTTTGTCTGCCCAAACTGAAAGTTTAGCACTATAGAGTCCATGTTTAAATAAATTAATTAAACGGTCAACCTTATTATCATCCAGGAGCAAAACTTTATAGTTTAAGACCTTAATTACTTCTATTTTAATTCTGCATTCAGCAAAAGGATCACAGTGAATAGTAACTTGCTATTATGAATGAATTTTTATGTCCCAAATCACCAAAAGAGACAGGCAGAAAGCTAGATGCTGCCTCTGTTATTACATTTAAACTTCGCCATACTTCTGTGAGAAATACATTATTTTTGCCTTTAATAGATCAGAAAACCAGATGAGGCAACTTCTCAAAGTCCCAGGAAAAAGTAGCAATGCTGGGATTCAAATGCAAGTCTCACTAGCTAAGAAGCCAGCAATCAACTATACTAGCATCAAGGCCCTAAAACTAAGAGCTAATCTAAGAACGCATTTGTGAACGGTCCCATCACTGATAAAAGCATTTATTTGAGGGTCAAAAGCACTGACTCATTAAACAACAGAACCAATCTGGTTTAAAGCTAAGTACAGCCTAAGACTTCAACAAGACTAAACAGGCAAAAATGTTCACTATAGCACTGTTTGTAAGCATAAAAAGCTGACACAATTTAAATGTTCAACAATAAGAAACTGGTCAAATTATCACACATTAATAAAATGGAAAGCCAAGTATTCATTTTAAATGCTATAAATCGTATTTACTGATATGGAAACAAGTCTACAATATATTAATTGAAGGCTGAAAATTTCAAATACAAGATATATGCTGTGATCCCATCTTTAAAAAACTATTGTTTAATTATATGTAAACGTTCAAACAGCCTGGAAGGCTACACATCAAAATATTAACATGGGTGATGGGAAGGTAGATGATTTTCAATTTCTCTTTCACAATTTTTGGTATTATTCATCTAAAATGTTTAAGGACTCTGTGTTTATAATTAGCAAAAACTAAAGGCTATTTGTACAAATAGCCGCAAGAAACACAAAGTTCTGACCTACCTACTTAACTAGATATTGATCTTGTCAATCATTCTGTACCTAACTATAGAACTGCTTTTTAAATGACAGCATAATATTTCATTTTATAGCTATATCATAATTTAACTAGTCCACTATTGATGGAGGTTTAGATCGTATTCAATTTTCTGCTAATACAAATTCAGACAAAACAAACTACAAATACCCTTGGCTCACTGGTCTCTCTACACAGATCGATTCCTAACTGCCTTCCAAGAAATTTCAGCTTCACTATCTTTCAAAATGTGAATGATTGCTTCTCTTATTTCAAGTGGGGTGGGCATCTTTTTATATGTTTAAAAATAATTTCTTTCATTGTGAATTCTATTCACATCCCATCTCATCTTTGTGACAGGTTGTTGTTCATCTTTTCCTTACTGAATTATAGAAACTTTGTATGTTAAGGAAATTAGTTCTCTGTTTCATGCTGCACGTAATTTTCCTTGTCATCTGTGTTTTGACATGTGTATGCATATATATTTGTTTTTACATATATGCTATGCATTTAGGATATACACATTACATGCATGTATATATGTATATAAACACACTTTTTTTTCCCCATGCTTCCCCTATTACTGATCTTATAAAATGAGTTTTCCCAGCCGGGCACAGTGGCTCATGCCTGTAATCCCAGTGCTCTGGGAGGCTGAGGCATGCAGATCACGAGGTCATGAGTTCGAGACCAGACAATGATGAAAACCCATCTCTACTAAAAAATATAAAAATTAGTTGGGCATGGTGGTGTGTGCCTGTAGTCCCAGCTACTCGGGAGGCTGAGGCAGGAGAATCACTTGAACTCAGGAGGCGGAGGTTCTAGTGAGCTGAGATCGTGCCACTGCACTCCAGCCTGGGCGACAGAGTGAGACTCTGACTCAAAAAAAAATAAAATTCCCATTTTTTTCTGGATACTTTTATAGGTCCATTTTTTATGCTAAAATCTTTGATCTGCCTGGAACTTATTTTGGTATAAGGAATGAGGTAGGGACCAAAATTGATTTTTTCTAGATGGCAATCCATTTCTCCTATGTATTTAATAATCCATTTTTTGCTCACTGATAATTTACCATCTTGATTGATTGATTGATTGACTGAGATGAAGTCTCACTCTGTCGCCCAGGCTGGAGTGCAGTGGTGAGATCTTGGCTCACTACAACCTTCGCCTCCTGGGTTCAAGCAATTCTCCTGCCTCAGTCTCCCAGGTAGCTGGGATTACAGGCGTGAGCCACCAGGCCTGGCTAATTTTTGTATTTTTAGTAGAGACGGGGTTTCGCCAAGTTGGTCAGGCACTCTCATATTAATGGTCTAAGTATGTGGTAATATAGATTTATATTGTGTTTTGATATTTAGTTGCATATCTCCCTTTCTTATAGTTTCTCTTCCATATCCATTCTTTATGTTCCTTTTTACATATGAAGTTTAGAATCAATCTGTCTAATTTCAAATTAACCCTGTGCAGTAACCAAGCCTCTTGGTATTCACGGCCTTGTACAGACCTCTCTTACCATGTATCAGGGTTGGTGGGTTGGTCTATGTGACCAAGAGAATGCAGCAGAAGTGATCAATTGTGACTTCATAAAGCATTGCAACTTCTGGGATCACACTCTCTGGAAAAAGCCAGCCCCATGAGGTCAAGCAGGACTACGTGGAGGTCCACAAGGCAAGGAACTGAAGCTTCCTGCCAACTGGCCAACACCCATTTGCCAGCCATGTGAGTGAGCCATCTTGGGAGTAGAACCTCTGGCACCAGTTACTCCTGCAGATGACTGAGCCCTTGTCAACATCTTAGCTAATGCTATGAGAATCTCAAGAACCATTCAGCTAAGCTGCGTCTGAATTCCTGACCCAGAGAAATTGTGAAATTTCACAATTGTCAAATGTTTACTGTTTTAAGTCACTAGGTTTTGAAGTTGTTTGTTATATATATAGCAATACATAACAAATTTGCCCTGTTTATGTATACACTGGGGTTGTGTTAAATTTTAACAAGCTTTAGGGAGAACCAATCTCATCATCATAATAGGTGTTCTTATCCAAGTATGTGAAATATCTTTTCATTTAAGGCTTTTATGTGTCTCTCTAGTATTTTAAAATTTTCTTTACATATATTTAAGTGTTTTATCTCTTGGTATTGAAAATATTTTCTTTGAACACACTTTATAACAGGTAACTGCTTGTATATAAAAAGGTATTTCTTTTATAGCCAATTACCTTTTTGAATTCTCTTACATTTTAGTATAGGTTTTCAGTTGATCATTTTGGATTTTCCTGGTACACAGCCTTTGCCTCTGTAATGCTTCACCATTAAGCAAGATGATGGCTTTTGGCTTAAAATATTAGCATGTTGAGAAATATTCATCAATTCCCATTTTCTTACTAGTTTTGGTCAAGACAGTGACCTGAATTTTATCCAATACCCTTTCAGCAACTTTGAGTTGATAAGACAACTTTTCTCTTACGATATATATGAACAAAGTAAATTATATTAGTAGGTTTTCTAATTGAATCGTCATTATAGTAGAAACGGTCTTTATAATATCTTTCTGTATTATTCACATGAATAAGCTTACTTATAAATTATTACATGCTCATTAGACTAGTTAAAACAATAAAGCAGGCCACCCTGGGCGACAGTGAGACTCTCTCAAAAAAATAATTAAAATTAAAATAATAAAAATTTTTTAAAAATAATAAAACAAAATAAATGAAACAAAACAATAAAGCTATTATACTTTAAAATAAACATGCTGGAAAAAATTTACCTTTTCCTTCCCTTCTCAAATTTCAACAATAAAAATCATTTTTGTATTATGTTCTCAAGCTTATTCCATGATAACTTTGTGTGGATTAAGCTGGCTCCAAAATAGTTCTAGTTCATCATTCCATCTAGATAAATTAATGAAAACTAAACCTTTAAACGGTTCAAGATAATTCTGACTCACTTGATGTTCCTCAAAAGGGTTATATGGCTCAGTATTGACTTCTTTGTGTGCTGTGTTCCAAGATACCTGTGGGGCAAAACAAAAAATTAAAATTCACTTTGTCTCAATTGCCCTAGTAAAATAAACCCATCATATAATGACACTTTAAAACACACACACAATTTTTTAAAGTTTTTTTTTTCCCATTTAGATCATGTTCCATGTTTCTGTAAACATGTATATTAGAAAATTATTTAGAATTAGTATAACTGAAAATGATTTTGATCCATTGCTCTTAACACATTTTTTTTCAAAGCCTCCTAGAAAACAGAAAACATAACGAGGAGTGGGGAAATTCAATAAGGATTTAATGAATTCATATCCTATAAAGGCAACTATAGAGGAATCCTGATTTAGTCTCATGCTTGTTAGGAAGGAACTCATTCATACACATCCCTCTTGTTTCTCTCTATCTGGCTGTCTCTTTTTAACATTCTCATTTCTCCCCTGGTTTGACAGGAGACGCTGGGCATGTGTAGGCCAGGGTCTTCCTTTTTTCCTTCTCTGAGGAGCGGCCAGCACATTTTCCCTTCCTCCTCCACGCACTAAGTCTTATGGGGCAGGCACCCCATGCTGGAAGGCCTCCATGCGGGCCCTCCTGTAACTGGCAGGTAAGGTGCTGTGATGCAGGCTACACTGCCAGCTAGCACTTGAACTTTCTACAGAAACAGCCACCTCCTCCTCTGGCACCTTTGTTAATTCTTAGGATGATGTTTTGGCTCCACCTGCTGTCTTATTTCTCAATGTGTGTAGAATTTCAGTAGCAAAGACGGGTATTACTGAACCTAAACTTCTTTCTAAGAGGATTATGTGTCACGTCTCACAAAACAGTTCATATTTTAAAAATATTTTCAGGCGAAAGCTTCAGTAACCATTATAAAGTCAATCAACTTTAAGGATTTTTGTAAATACAATGGCAATGAAAAATGAAAAGGAAAATTTAACTTCGGTATTAAGAAGGCTTTTCTATTTAATTCTTACCTGTATGGCAATCACCTGCATGTGTGGAATGTCTGTTACTGTGCTGGTGTTTTCTGGAATGACTTCAAATTTGTTGTTAGAATTGCCACAGTGCCCATCATTTCTGTTAGACTCACTCAGGACTGTATCAGCATCAACTGTGCTGCACTGTGACTTTACAGATCCAGAAGAGGCATCAAGGATCTGTGTTTCGGAGGCAATCTGGTGACGAGCAGCATTCTCAGCATTCAAATGATGACCCTCAAAATAGGCAGCAGCATTTTTATCTGCTCTGTCATTGGCTACAAAAGACGGCACCATTGGTATTGATCTTGGCAGTGGATATTCAGAAGAAAGGCTGGCCAAGGGCGTATATATGCTGGTGTACTGGGGCAAACCTGGTAACACATTTATGTATGCTGGCGGTGTCTGGGTGATGTCAAATCCCTGGAAAGGAAGATACGTACAGTATCCTGTGACCAAATGGGATTGAGCCCAATAAGTTGGTTTCATATCCTCAAGAAGCGGTTTGGGAGAATTAGAGGGGAGTCGCTTGTAATTTGCATCCTCAGAGCCTGGTTTGGGAGAATTAGAAGAGACCCCTTTGGGTTTCCCATCCTCAGAAACTTGTCTAGAAGAATTATTGGATACCGGTTTGGGCTTCACATCTTCACAAGCTGGTTTGGGAGAATTTGTAGACACAGGTTTGGGTTTCACAGCCTCAGAAGCTGTTGCTGAAGATGTATCGGCCACTGGTTTAGATTTTACATCTGGTTTAAATTCCCTAGCAGCTGGATTCAGTGGTAGTCTAACTCGTAAATACTCTCCTGTTTTTGAAATTTCTTCTACTTTTGCTTTAATGTTTTTCTTCTTTCTTTTTTTCTTGAGCCGTAATGCAACTTTCTTCAATGCAATACAGTTGTCAATCACAACAAAACGAGGACATCCCAAGAGGAAAGATTTTAAGCCTCCTGCTTTTTCTAGTATCTGTCGAGTTTCTTCTGGGAAAAACTCATATTCTTCAGAGAACATCTTGTTACTCATGTCCAAGGGACCATGTTCCTCCAACAACTGAGAGAAGTAACTTGGAAAAAATTTACATTTACATGAGTTACTATAAGGAATTTCTTGAATATACTTATTTAAAAAAAAAAAAAAAAAAAAAAAAAAAACTTGTATTCTCCCAAAGCGAAACATTGTTTCACTTTTCACCAATCTCAACCTTTCCCCAAGAACTAATATAACAAACATAAGGTTAACTGCAATCAATGATACTTATAAAGAAAATTTTGGGCTGGGCGCGGTGGCTCAAGCCTGTAATCCCAGCACTTTGGGAGGCCGAGGCGGGTGGATCACGAGGTCAAGAGATCGAGACCATCCTGGTCAGCATGGTGAAACCCCGTCTCTATTAAAAATACAAAACATTAGCTGGGCATGGTGGCGCGTGCCTGTAATCCCAGCTACTCAGGAGGCTGAGG